TGAGGGCTGGATGTAGCCACGGAGCATTATTGAGGCCCTGCTCTAAATACTAAGCAGTATGCAGACAACAAACAAATATCATTTCCTATAAGAACAATATATATTTTTTCTTTAGTAATAAATAACAACAAGATATATATTATTTTAAATTAATCACTAAACAATAAAAATAATAACAATAATAAAAATATTAGTAATAACATTTGCAACAGTAATAAGATAACAAAGTAATGACAAATACTAAATATAATAGCAAATGTAATAGATATAAGCATAGCAGTATTTCTTAATTATAAATAATAAAAATTAAAATAGTTAATAAGAACCATGCCACTTATACAGTTGTCTGATAAAAGATATGACACTGATTATTAAATATAACATGAGAAGTAACAAGCATAGAGATATAACATGAGAAGTAACAAGCATATAGAGACATATAGAACATAATAGACCTTTTCATTAATAAACGTTCGAAAAACTCAAAAAGAGGCTTAAGTTGTACCATTGATAAACAAACCAAATTTTCTAATAAAAAATATGCATAGGAAAATCTTCTGAAAAACATTGTGCTGCCTTTAACTGCTGAAATCGAAGTTATAAAATTGAATGCAGAAAACTAAAGGTTTCTGGCATTGAATTTTTTATTTTTCAAAATAAAAAATGATGTTTCTCATTAGTGCAATTTGATAAAGTGAAAAATGGTTTAGATGGTTTTAATGTTACTGGATCATTATATCATCCGTACTTGTATTTTAAGCCAGGGGAAGTTAAAATTACTAAATGCTCTTTATGAAAAGGTACTAAATTATTTCTTTGTAGCAGGAATAACTTAAAAGTTGGTGTAAAAGAAAGGAAACCATTACAGACAATTTCATCCACCCAAAAGAAAAGTGTGGACTGGCTATGCTAATCCTAAAAACAAGTAGTTGCTTAAATAGGGAATCATTTATCAACAACAATTTAAAAATAAAACAGTTTCAAAATGAAAACAAAAAAGAAAGCAACAATGACAAATGAAGGCAATACATTTATCGACATCACACAGAATTTACAATAGAAAAATATTTAATGCAGTTTTTAAAATTCTTGATTCTAAAAAAAACCGAGAAAACATTTACCAGAGAATGAAAGTAGAAGAAATTTGAGTTGTAAGCTATAATTATAAATATAACTATAAGCATAAATGATAACTAGCATAATTAAGAAGAAAATCATATAGCGTTTCTTTTTCCTGTAAAGGACTTGAGTAACATTATTATAACTAGGTTGAGTTTTACATAGATATGTAAAACTCAACCAAGTATTTATCTAATTTAATAAAGGACACATGTTATGTCCTTTATTAAATTAGATAAAAATTAAACATGCCTCAGTCAGAAATTTTGCAATCTTAAGTATCATTGATTGGGTAGATATAAAAGTAGCTGTACCTCATTCATTAATAATGTATAAATTCTGATAATAAAAGTCACACTACTGTAAAGGTTTTAATTGGCACTGCCCAAGATAGTAGTTGTACATTTATATCTGTTCTCAAGATTTATACAAACATGGAGAAGGGTAGATGGCAGACAGAGGGTTAACAATACAAGATTTTTAAAGTCCACCAATTTTTGAAGTTGAAAATAATTCACTAAAACTGAGGTAATTTAAAGTTAGCAAATTGAAAGTGAACGAATTTATATTGTTAGAATAATTCAAAGACATATATTTTCATATATTTCATACACCGTGTTATTCTGCAAATGTGGTTTGTTCTCTCAATCTAATAGTTATTGTTCATGGAGTTTTTACTAATTTTCATGAGCTAATAACAAAAAACACAGAAACTTATAGAAAAAAATATGCATCAAGACATAAAAAAACATTAAGATTGAGTTTATTATTAATAATGCTGTGGCCATGGTGCAGTGGTTAGAGCCTTTGCTTAATAAGCAGGAGATCTAGGTTCGAAACAAGCTCTGGACATATTTTTGTGTCACGGTAAGGAAGGAGGCTTGAACTTCCTGGTTAAATGTACTTCCGCGGTGCTCAGTGACAAGACCTTTAGGTCTTCTTGGGGCACCTAAATAACAAAAAAACAAAAAAACAAAAAAAAATACAATCATAAATAATTACAAATAGATTCTTCTTCAATACAATTCAATGTAAATATATAGACATTGTATTTTAGCATAAATTTGTAAACCCATATTTTATAAAATAGACTGAGTACATATCAATAAAATATTTTTGTTCAAATTAGTCTATTGTTGTTTTTTTTTAAATTAATTTGGATAAAATAATACTGGTAAAGGATTTTTTTTTTATTTTGTCACTATAGGCAATATGTATTCCAAACTTTTAAATCTATCATGAGATTCATTTCATTATGAAAACTTTAATTTGAGAGTCTCATAATGTACAATAATAATACACCTTTAAAAGAATCATTAAGTAAATAAAGTAGCCACCTTTTATATCAACTTTGACAGTTAGACTGTTTATATTATCTTTTTGTAAAACAATTAACTCTGGATGTTAAAATATATGTTTATTTGAAATAAGTCAACTGCAAAACATAGATTTACTAAAGTTCATAGATAAAAGTAAACTTCACTGAAATTTATTTTGAAGTCTTCAGTTTAATTAAATTTTGGACTACATACTCCAAATATTTTACTTTTAATTTTAAAATTTAGAATACTTTAAAAAATAACAATAATTTTTTTGTGAAATTTTTTTAAAATGTTCAAACTCTTTTTTAAAATAACAGATAAAGCTAAAGAAACAGGTAAGCTTAAGAAAAAGATACGCTTAAACAATGAAATAATTTTTTGATTACACAGATGGTACATTTCTTACATTTTGATTTGATACACAGACGTTTATTTATGAAAAGGTTTATTAAAAATGTAGAAATGTAAAAATCATAACTTATAGCTAATAAAAAAAAATAAGAAAAAATAAAATAAAAATTAAACAATAATTGCAGTTATAAACAAGTAAATATATACAATCAATTATTTAACAAGAACAATTGCTGTTGTATCATCAAATCAATTATATAACAAAAACACTTGCTTTTGTATCATCCAAATAACAAAGACACTTGCTATTATATTATGTATCATCCAATTGATCATGAACAAGTATGAATGATAACATTTATAACAATAACAATAGCAAGTAAACTTGCTATTGGTATTGTTATAAATGATAACAATAGCTATTTCTATTGTACACTTGCTATTTTTATTGTTATAAATTATAACAATAGTAAGTACACTTGCTATTGTTATCATTTAACTGATTTGCAATAATTAAAACCACTGTAGGGTCTGGTCAAATAAAACATTACAAAAATAGTTTGCATAATAATTTTATAGTTTGTTTTAATACTTACTATTGGAGCAGTGTTTTTTGTTGTCTCGTTAAAAACCATCAGCATAAACTGAAGAAATGTTGATGGCAGGTGAGGGGTTACTTGCACTGAAGGCCAACTCAGAAATTGATAATGAAAAACTGTACGAGACTCGTCATCAAGTTTTAAAGAAAATTTTCTTAAAACCATATTTGCAAACTCCTGAGAAGCCAATAAAGTGATTTTAATGGAGCAATCATCTAGAGAATATGTGTTGGTTGGAAAATATTGCGCACAAATGACTTTTTTTTTTTCTACTATAGCTCCTATCTAAAGTGAAGAATACATTTCCTGTCATCAGTAGAAAAAAAAATTGTTTACAAGTTTAGATGCTATATAAAAGGAAAGAAAAATAATGTTTAAAAGTTAATAATGTTGAAAAACCATGATTTTTTATAATATTAGGCCTTGACACCACAATAAAGTTGTCTGAATAAAAATTATGTTAACACTGTATTTACATTCTTATCTTTTAAGTTATTTAAATAAATATTTGGTTTCATGCTACTTTTAACTAATTTTTTAATGGTAAATGGTAAATGATAAATTAGATAGAGACCTTTAAACCATAAAAGTAAAGTTTGAATAAGTTTGTGTAAATCTAACTAACAAATAAGTAGTTTTAATAGTTGTTAAAGATGCCTTTAAAATGCTGAATAGCTTTCTGTAAGTTGAACTATCACTCAACTGAAACAACTTCAAGTTGATTTTTAAAATGCTTTATTGGATTAGGCTAAATACCTTTTTAAAAGATGATAAGCTTTTGTTCAACAACTTTAAATCTATGTTTACCAATAATAACGATGCTATTGTTTTTCAGCTATAAAAATTTTACAACTACAGTCTAACATTTATAAACTTGGTATTGCATTATTTCTTTAAGAAATTTATGAGGATTATTTATTTGTAGTTTACCATAATGGCACAACTTACAATACTTTATCTTTAACTGCAAACAAATTAATATTAATGAAAATAAAATCAGCTTTAATTGGATTAATTAGACTTAAAGAACAAAAATGCTCTCATAAATTTAATATTATAACAAGAACAAAGAGTTTCTCATAAATATTAGTGCACATATTGAAGAGTTCAAAAAAAAAACAACCAAAGTTTCAGAAAGGAATTGAAGCATCTACTTTAATAAGTTTGCCACGTCAAATGGTGTGTTTTAAATTTTTTTTTTTTTAAATTTCTTGTCCCAGACTTATTTTCTTAATTAATTATTTAAGTTTAAGACAAAGTTAATTTAGTTTTTTTGTTATTTAATTTTTGTTTGTATAGAATAGATTTTAATTACATTATTTTAAATATATGAATATATTGCAATGCAACAAAGTTTATATAATTGTGTGTCAGCTATTACTTTCCAAATCTGGAAACTTTAACAACATTGACCTCAAAAATTAGCTTATTGAAAGATAAATTTTAGTTAGAAACATTAAAAACTATTCTTACCGATTACTTAATTGATGAAGTTTATGTCAAAGCTTTACCCTTTTTTAAACCTATATTGCACAACAAATGTCAACAAATTATTGATTCAAATAATAATAATAATTATTATTATTGTTATATACAAAACTTAGTGCAGTAGTATATATAAATATTAAACTTACAGCTTAATTAGTTTATCCAAAAAAAATAATGAGTCTGTAAAACTATGTGTGTTTTTGTGGGAAAATCTACTCAGTTAATGAACAACAACTGCTTTAAAATGAACAATATATTATTGGTTTTTAACAGATTCACTTGAAAATGTTTTTTTATACTCAAAGTATAGTGAGATTAGGAGGTACATATTTTGCAAATGTTAAACCTGTTTAAATATTGAAAAAAGATACATACTATATTGATATTAAAATTAGAAACTTCTGTAAAAGGTGTGGTCATACTTGTGACTTTGATCATATTTTTGACATATAATAGTCATACATATAATGCAGAATTATTTTTACAATAATTATCATATAATTATATATAAAAGAGCTGCTGAATAATAAAGCTAGATTTTTGTAATATTTTGAGAATTTTGGATAAAAATACTTGCTACCTTAATTTTTGAAAATTTAAGGTTTTGTAATTTAATATGTTAATTTCTAATTATGTTTTTTATACTTTTTATATCTTCTGTAGCATGACTTTTGAATTTATAGGATCTAAACACCAGCCCTACCATTAGTTAAACCTTATGCAAAATCATTAAAATATTATAAATAATTAAAATAAATCATTAAAAGTTTTTTATTATATTTACCTACTCAAGGTTGAGAGCTATCCTTACAGTTAAGTATGCTACCTTTGAAAATTGTTGTAACAACCTTATTTATAACTGTATAACACAGTCCTTGATAAAAAAAAAAGCATCTAAGCCAACAATTAGGTTAAACACTGTACTACAAGAGATATGGCGGGTTTAAAGATTTTTGCTTACAAAACAAGGCCTCTACCTCTATAACACAGAATAACTTTACAAGACTATTATTTAGTAACAATGACTATTATTTAGTAACAATAACAATGTAGTAAAATCATTTAAAATAGTTACCATTACTATATGTCTGACATTATTTTCCCAAACCATTTTCCAGAATGCATCTATTTCTTCATTTGATGGACTCATCATGATAATATAATCTTTTGAAGTAATAAAACCAGGTATATAATTTGCATGAAGATAGATATCATCAGATATAACACGAGATTTATCATAACAAGGGATATTGCTAAACCGCTTTTTTTGCTTATCAGATAGTTTTAAAAATTCACTATAGCTGCAAGCTTCCACAGGCATGCAAGAAAATTCATCATTAAATGCTTTAAAATTGTTAAACTTCATGTGTGTCATGTGATTTTGAAATTCAGAATCTTTAATGGGAAGACAGGGATCTAAAAAATATTTTAAATTAGCAAATATAAGCTACCCAAAACTTTTTTTAATGTTATTCACCTCCCCAAGGTCGAGAAGACCATTACAATCTACTTATTGTGGCTATAACCCTCTTTTAATTCTTTAACATGAACCTTGGTGAACATGGTCTTTGTACGGAGAAACAAGTTTAATGTGGTGCTACCAGAAACGTGGTGGGGATTGAACTCAGAGCATCTTGCTTATGAAGCGAGCCCTCTACCACTACACTACAACCGCTATCTAATAAAATATACAACTATGATGGTGATAATAAAAACAATAATACTTATATAACTTTGTAAATCTACCTGTCTTTAATCTTTTAGAATGCTCTATCTTTGATTTTTTTGGAGGTTTTGGTGTATATTTTGTTGAATATTTCCAATGACACAAAACAATAATTATAAATATGATAGATATTATACTAAACACGATTCCAACTGTTATTGCAACAACCTCAGTTTCTAGAATGCAAAAAAGTTTAATAAATCATATTGCATTTGCATATAATATATTTAAAAATTAAAAAAAAAAAAAAAAAAGAACAAAAATTAATAAAAAACAAATAATTTTGCATATAAATATCATTGCGCTTAAAACAATGAATATAAAATTTATTCTATAACAACATACCATTGAGTATTTCTATTGGTTTTGTATGAATAGCTTCAGTCCAATTGAAAGAGAAATAATCAGTATCATTTATAAAAGCTCTTTGGAAAAATACATAGGTAGAATTAGGTTCTAGTGGAATGTTTTGAACTTCTAAAACAATCAAATAAAAACTTTTGATCATCAGGACAATGAAAACTTTTAACAGGCCATATTAAAAACAAAAATTAGTCTTTCTTATAAAAAATATTACGAATCTTACTCCCAAACCGTAATTCTCAACATTGACATCCTATATCACATAGAAGTTATTGTAAGAAATCCTCAAAATAAATGGTTCTCAAAAAAAGGATATAAAAGCATTGTACTTATATTATTGTGCACAAATATTGAGTTGTCTCCAACCAAAAAAACGTTTGGTACTTTCATCATGTCCACAACCAAGGTGACATACAAGTTTTTTAATGGATGATTTAGAATGGAACTTAAAATACTTCCAGAAGATATTATAGATGAAGTTGATGGCAGCATTTCTGATGGTTTCACTTTTGACACTATAAGCTGATGATACCTAAAAAAAAACTTTTTTAGAGCATGATATGGTTAGAATACTTGAGTGCTTTCTTTTTTTTTTAAATAAATATGTATGTATGTATGTATGTATGTATATATATATATATATATATATATTCATTTAAAATCTATTCTCTTAAATGTGTGGCTTTTTTTTACAACTAATACACAAACTTTTGCTTACAATTTTTCTGCCGACCTGATGCCAACCTCACACAGATTAAGGTCGGCAAATTATTGCCGACCTCATTTTCCCTAATTACGAGGGCTGATATATATATACAGGTCTTTTGTCAATAACTTTCTGGCTCTTTAACTTTCTTCTTAGTCTTCTTTGTTCCAACTTAATTTGCTTTGTCCTAACTTGGAGTATTATTAGTAGTAAACTTGTTTACACACACACATTTTTGTTTTTTTTACTACTCATAAACTAGTTCTAATTTCTAATTGACATTAATTCTATGATAAATATAAAAAATTTATGATAATGAAAAAACTTTTTTTAAAAAGCAATTTCAAAACTAAAAAATCATCTTTTCATTATATAAAGTTTAATAAAAAAAAAATATTATTATTTGAAACTATAAAGAAATAAACAGAATAGTTGAATGTATATCGAACATAAAAAAATAACTTAAACTTGATAAAAACTTATAAATTTGATAAAATTATATTTTCTTTCTTTTTTCTTGGAAATTTTGAAAGAAAAAAAAAATTGTAAAACGAAGCGTTTAAAATTTTTTTTTTAATTTTAATTATACCTAATAAAATAAATTCAAATTTATTAATATTTAATAATGAATTTATATTAAATATAATAAAATAAATTCAAATTTTTTTTTTAAAACAGAAAGTAGAAAAAAATTTATTTAACAATCTGTTTTTTTTAGCAAAAAAGAAATTATTTTACAATTGCATTGAAAATGTTTTTTACAACTATTAAATATTATTTAATGTTTTCTGCACTATTTCAAAAGCCTGTTTAAAGATTTATCATTACAACGGAAAAAAGTTTTTGCCTAACGCAAACGGCTTAAAACGTAGGTAAAATCCCCATTTTGTACATAAAATGCGAACAGTGTAACACTTCTGAACAAGGCCTCTATATATATATTAAATACAATTAAATTTGAGACATAACTCAAAGTTTCACGCTTTATGCAATCATCAGACATTACAAACTTTTTAACAACAACAAAAATTATATATAAAAATATAATAGTGTTAGCTTTGATAATGTTAAATTTGCAGATAAGAAATTTGTTTTCATAGCAATATTTTAATATTAATTCATTTTGTTTATTCAATAGTTTGAAAGATGATGTAATGATATGGTATTCTTCAGTTAAACAAAAGTTACATAACTTTCCTCTAGGTTTATTTAAACCTGGAAAAAAAATAGGATTTTAAAATCCCTTTTTTTTCATTTCCAAGATATATTTAGAAAGTTCTGTGGTATTAGCTTTACTTTGGTATTGAAAGGAGGTTTTATATTTGTACCAGTGATCTTTGAAAATGCGCTCCGTTAAACCAATTTAATTTAAACCACTATCCTGCGGTGATGTTTTTACATTGCAGACGTAAATTATATTTTTACTAAGGCACATTGCAAAGGACGTGAAGGTTGCCAGCACTTATATAATTGAACAATTGTGTTGAAAACATTAGATAATATTAGATACTTAGTTGATACAAAAGTATATAATGGCTTAATTGTGACAGGAGACTTTAACTTTCTAGGCATAACTTGGCAATCTGACTGGAGCATCTTGAATACAGGTTCAATGATGCTCTCTGTAACAACCACCTCTACCAGCATGTCAAATGTCTAACTTTTATAAAAACTGATGGAAATCTTAGCAACACACTTGATCTAATTATATCAGAATCAAAATATAGAATCAACAAAGTTTTAACAGGACCTTGTCTTGGCACAGCCTCTCAAGGGCATATATCTCTTAGCTGGGAACACAATTTAAGCAATTGTAATCAAAATAGTTTTAACAGCAAAAAATCCCTTTATAAATATGGTAAATATGATGAAATAAACACTTTTATAAATAACATAAATTGGCAAGCTAGATTTATGGATCATGATGTTAAGAAATGTTATTCCATATGGTCAAACCTCTATAATGAAGCATGCCATAAGTTTATTCCAAAGGCATCAAAAAATACTGCCAAAAAAAGGCAACCCTGGATCACAAACAAGTTAATGAAGCTAATTAGACTAAAAAAAAGAGCTCTGGTACAAAAATGCAAACTCAAAGTGGAAAAATGCAGCACACATCACAGAGTATACAGCTGTCAAAAAGGAGGTCAAAAAAAATAGCAAACGAGCATTACGTGTCTATGAGTTAGAGCTAGCTAACGACAAGCACAATCCAAAAAGACTATTCGCATAAATTAATAGTAAACGGATAGTGAGCAATCAAATATCAGCCTTAATCTCAGATTCAAACCAAATGAGCAGTGATGGAATAACAAAAGCAAACATTCTCAACAACCAATTTCAATCAGTTTTTACAAAGGAACCACTGACCCAGCCACTAAAACCTTTTGCATCCAAAACAAATGTTTTAACTTCGGATATAACAATTGACCAAAACATTGTTCTCAAACACCTAAATATGCTTGATGGAAATAAGTCAATGGGTGATGATAACATTAGTCCATTTGTTTTAAAAGCATGTGCCACATCAATGGCAGTTCCGCTAACTTTGATTTTTTAACTTTCAATAAAATCTGGAAAGGTTCCACTATCTTGGCTCAGAGCTAATGTTACACCTATTTATAAAAATGGTAGCAGAACAGATCCAGCCAATTACAGGCCCACATCGCTCACTTCTGTTCCATGTAAACTTATGAAAAAAATAGTTAGACAAGTAATAATCAATCATTTGGTAAATAACAAATTGCTTTCCAAAACTCAACATGGTTTTGTTTCAAAAAAGACTTGTATCACAAATCTTTTAGAAACAATGACTTTTTGACTTTTAGCAAATCAAAGAAAAAACCAGTCGGCCTAATTTTTCTTGACTTTGCAAAGGCATTTGATAAAGTTTCGCATGTAAGATGCAAAAGCTTGAAATGTATGGTATAAATGGCACTCTTCTAAACTGGATAAAAGCCTTCTTAACAAACCGCAAGCAGCGTGTTATACTTGGAGAATCAAAATCTGACTGGATTGATGTAACTAGCGGGGTTCCCCAAGGTTCTGTGTTAGGACCAATGCTCTTTGTCATATTTGTTAATGACATGCCAATTCATGTCAAATCAGCCATTTGCAAAATGTATGCAGATGACACAAAGCTCATGAAAGTTGTTGAAAATGATGAAAACCGAGGAGGTTTACAATCCGATCTAGACGAGATTGTTAAATGGACGCAAACCTGGCTAATGGAGTTAAATGTAAAAAAATGTAAAGTTATGCATGTAAATTCTGGAACAATAAAATTTGATTACATTATGGATGAAATCAAAAATGATGGTACAACCAATATAGTAGTTTTAGAAGTCACAAATTCTGAAAAAGATCTCGGAATTCTATTCTCCGAAAATCTTAAAAATGCTCAACAGTGCAATATAGCTGCAAACAAAGCAAATAACATGCTTTGAATTCTTAAACAAGAGACATTGACATTTGGAAAAAAATTTGCACTGTATATATTAGACCACATCTGGAGTTTGCCATACAAGCCTGGAACCCTTACCTTGATAGTGACATAAAAAAAATTGAAAAGGTACAACGCAATGCCACGAAAGTTCCTCATGCTTTGAAAAATAAAGACTACAAAACTCAATATAAAATCATGAAATTAACTACTCATGAAGACAGACTTACTAAAGTCTGTCAAAACAACTACTAGACAGTTTTCAGTCATCATAGTTGCTACAACTCATCATTTACCGTAAATGCCACACAAAAGTGGCCGAAATACGAGTTGGGTATAGATGCGTATACTCAGCTGATGATGAGTTTAACAAGGCTGTGGCTTTGTGTAACTTAAATTAACTAACTAACTAACATGTCATACAGAGATCTACTAATAAAGTTGTCTACACTTCAAATTAGATTTATTTGTAGATAATACTTATTTTTCTATAAGAAATGATATAAAAACAATGTTTTAAATACAGTATGCATCATCAAAGCTATTATTTAACTAATTTTACAAAGAGAATAGAAGTATTTTTTTGTTTGTTTGATTTTTTTGAAATTTATGTTTTATTTTTTTTGTAATTTTTGTTGTTTTATTTTTTTATAATTTTATTGTTTGATTTGGATTTATTGTTTGTCGACCTTTTTAATATATTTCTAACTTAAATTTTTTTATGGTTCTTACATTTCATTTATAAAATGTTCTTTACGATAGTAGATTGTTAAGATAATATTTTTTTGTGGGTTTTATTCTTTAGACTAAACTTTTAAGTATATATTAAGACTAAATTGAAACTTGGTTGTTTTTCAGGCAAAGTTTAACCTGTGCTTACATTATAGTCTGCATTCTGAAGTTGTGAATTTTTTAGTGACTACCTTGATTTTTTTTTGAAAATATAATAGTTTGCGAATCATTTAAAGTAAAATTCATAAATTGGTTACTTTTTATCATGTTAATACATTTTTTATGTTAATGCTTTTAAAGATAAGTTTTATTTTTATTTCAAGGGTTAAAAGTACTGACAGATATATTAGGTAGGCTTTAATACTGCCATTTATTATCTTTAAACCACTTTAAAGTATTTTATCTAATTATTTTTAATATCTACAATTTTTCTTTTTCTAGGCTGAGCTTTTTTTTGGTATTTTTTTACAGTTGGGTAGTTTTTTATGAAATGCTCATCCATTATGTTTTTAATATGTATACCCATTATGTTTTTAATATATATACATATATATATGGTTTTCGATTTTCTCATTCTACGCTGACTACTGTGACATAAAAATACTATCATTAGATAGAGACAACAAGGCAAGAGCTATTGCTCTAGACATAT